ATCATTTCGGCTCAGCAATCTCGTCTTCGGTAATTGGTTTCTATTTAGGTCTTTTATGTTTGCTTCTCATTTTCCATACCGTCTACTCCACAACGGCTGGTGCTGACGGTTGGCTGGGATCTTGCGCGATCGCAAAAAAGGAAAGGATTGGAGAAAGCTTTTTTTTTGAACACAGCTGGTCAGTTTATTGAACACACTCACACAGCCGCTCTCGCCACCTCGTCTGGGCCGTGTCAGCCCCGGATGCCGCTTTCATTGCAAAGTAAACCGTAACCGTTCTTGGGCTTTTGCACTGCGTGCGTAGGTCGCGCTCTTGTCAAGGTGCAGTGTGTTGTTTGGGGGTGTGGAAATCTCGCAACCGCCACCGTGCCGCGCGTATCCTTCGAAGGCCATGCGTCGTCTCGGGTTCTTGGGGTGTGGTCTGGAGTCGCTGCCGTTCAAAGCGGTTTCGCAGTTTCTCAGTGAGACTGTCGCCACTTTGCTATGCGAGTTTGGTGGTGTTGACACATGTTGGCCTTCTGTTGCCTACGTTGTCGGCGTCACGGCCTTCCCACAGCGACTGGCCCGGTCGAATTCGTCTTCGGCTCCGCGTGCCAAGTCTAGCTGCAAAGCGGCAGTTAAGATACGATGTATGTTGTATACATCCACACATGTAATGACATGTAAACCGTCCAATATTCAGATAGGTTACTGAGCTTGCTTAGGTGTGTTTGGGGTAGGACGCAATGGCAATTGACCACCTGCAGCTTGCGGTCGGTTGCACTTTGGCTTGTTTGCCCGTTTGTGCGTGTCGTTCTCGTGTCCGTCCGTTCGGGTGGTAGTTGTCTATGTGTTTTGCCCGTCGTAGTCTTGTGCTGCCATGGCTTCGTCTGATTCCCGAAAGGTGCCGATCTCCCCGATCAGCTTTGGCTGCTTCGAGAGCAGGTTCGATCTATGCGTCTTGGGTGACGTGCCCCGGCCTTTCAAGTCCGGTGGTGGTGGACAGTCCTGAAGGCTGGCCTCCGTCCCCTTTGTCCGGATTCCCGGACTTGCGTCAATTCCTCACGTTGACTCTGACCGGACTTGGCCGGAACTTTTGTCGTCTCACACAGGACAGCCCTGTCGGCTAAATAGCTGCATCGCTTGTGTTTCCTTTGCTTTGACTCTGATGCGGATCTTTCACGCGCTCCGTGCTGGCGTACCTCGGGCATCGGCTCCCATTCCTCGACCTGAACGAGGGATGGATCCTCGAAATTCCGGGTGGCGACGCTGAGCTCTGCCGCCGTTATGGCATTACAGCCGTCGCCCGGCCGTCCGCCAAGGCTCGTGGTCGACTCTTCCGTTTCAGGGGTCACTTCCAACACTCAGCTGCCGAATCGCGCCGCTACTTGATTTGGCTTTGGTCTTGGATATGGCGAAAGCCCATCGGCGACTACTCATCCGTCCTTCCGATCTCGGCTTGCTTCGCTTCCGGCACCGTGCCGTGCAGAGATGTGTGTCCTGTTTCCCTGGCTGCCGTCCGACTCTTCCTTGAAGCCTTTCATCGCCGGGCTCTTCAGTTCATGCTTCATTATCTCTGGGGGGCCCGAGCATCTTCCGTGCCACACCGTTTTCCGTTCACATCACTCCGCCTCTGAATCGGATTCCTGGGAGGGCCTGTCTACAGCCAAAGGCGTTTGCATGGTACTCTGCGCTGTGTTTTCGCTTCAAGAGCGCCAGCGAATTTCCTTGCACGTGGATCATATCCTGGGAATTTTCAATGAGGTTGCAGAGGCGATCAGCCGAGGCGCCAACCCGTCCGATCTGGGCTTTCAGAGGGAGCGCGTTCTGGTGGATTGGACTTTGTTGTCTGGGCGAGAGTCTCTTCGGCTGTTCCCGTCACGGGCTGCATTTGACTGCTATTTGGCTGCGTAGCCACTTGAGCCGTTGCTTGAATTTCTTTTGGGGCGGTTCCCCTGTCCAGGATAATCCAGGATAACACGTAGCGGGGCTCGATCTTTGGTCCGACCGCCGCAAAAGGACCGGGATTGCGTCATGCTTCCGACCGTGTCTGTTTTCAGCTGACCAGCGGCTTCTACGCAGCGGCTGAAAAAAGTCCGAGTGCGAGTATACCGGTAAAGGGTGATGGACCACTCCGCCCGGACGTTACTGAGCTTGATCACGTGTGTTTGGGCCTCAACGGCAATCAACGAGCCTTTGGCGCTCGGTTGCACTTCGACTTGCCTGCCTCCGTCCCCTCTCACCACCTTGTGATGACTTGGTGTAAGAGGCTGCTCCGTCCGTTCACTGTCTCGGGCCACTTAGCTGGACTTTTGGGACTTCAGTGTTGTTGTTTATGTCCGTTGTTTATTTTTCACCTTGGGTTTGTGAGGGTTCACTTTTTTTGCTGCCGGTCCGACCGCCGCAAAAGACCGGCACTTCGTCCTGCTTCCGATCGTGTCTGTTTTCACCTGACCACCGATTTCTATGAAAAGAAAGCGCTGTCCGAGTGTGCGAATTGATTCCCCTAAAGGGCCAAAGGGTAACAGACCAGTCCGCGCCCAAATTGCATGCAGCGATGTTGACATGCGCGCCCATTCATGCATACAACGCGATTCACTTGAAAGGACAAGTTGACTTTATAAGCAGCTATATCCTGCCCTAGCCGGGTGGTAGCATTGCGCTGCATGGAAATGATGTAGTCCGTTCGCCCATCACAGCCCTGAGTCTGTTGCCTCACTACATGTCTGCGTTTCGTTGACCCTGGGAGTTATTTTGCTGCACGCCCGACCGCTACCCTGGCAGATGCAATTTCTCCGCCAGCCGACTCTGCCTACCCTTCGTCTGAGGTGGAGACTGGGCTTTGCAGCACCAGCACCAGCCCTGGTTCGGAATGTCAGGCGTTCGGACGGTTCCTACAGTGCAGGCAGTATAAAAAACAGCTGGTTTGAGGTTAAATGATCCAATTAATGCTTCGGCCATTGAGGATAAACTGTAGATGCACGGCGGTCGCATACTGGTGACTTCTTCATACTTAGTTAGACCATCCATCAAGCTGCAACTGAGGCCGAAAGCGATGCTTCAGGAGACTCCGTGGGCATGGTCACGCTTTTCGTGGCCGGTGCTTGGAGCTCGGAGAATCTGAAACATGCTATCCTGTTCTTGTTCACTTGGGTTAAGTGAGGTCCTGACAAAAAGCATCTCGCGCCTGTTATCCTCAGAGCAGTTGCTTTGGGTTACGGCTCTCTAGCAAACAATGATGACCGGCGTGCACTGACGCGCGTTTCAACAGGATTGTCCTAGAACATTTTCAAGTCCACGCGCTGTGCCCGCGTTGGTGCGTGTCCGCTGACGTCTAAGTTTGAGATGTTAGGGGCACGTGCTGACGGCCCCAAAGGGGCGTCAAAGGTGCTAGCTAGCAGATGCAGACTTCCAGCCAGAGAAGCCGATTTCATCACCGAAGCCTGTGAGCTAAATGCTGGAATGCTGCCTTCAAGAGTGTGAGGAGGCAATCAGAGCGGCGACGCCTCAGAAGCTTCAATCAGCAACAATGCCGTAACTCATAAGCGCTCCTCCACTCGAGTTTGCGCGCCTGAATTCCGCTTTCTCGCTCGCTGAATTCAGCTGCTTTTCCCAGCCTGCAGGGTCCCCTGCAGAGGGAAGCGGGAAGACTGCACACAAGGTCAGTCCGAATGTGCAACGGTTAGAAAGTGTAGCAAAGCAGGATGGTGCAAGCATCCTCCTCAGTCCATACTTAGCATGGAGCTTCCATGCCGGCGATGCGTGGTGATGCGGCTGTAAATCTCCAAAGATAGTGGCGATCCGATTCCTGTTGGTAATGCCGCACCACAAGCATCCTTGCCATGCGGCAGCAAGCCGTTCCAACAAGGCATTAGGCCTCAATGGTATCCCTGCGGTATCCCTTCGATTTTCGGCTCTAAGTGTTGTGGGACTTGTGGTCATCAGGTAAATCGCATGAAAGTGTTTCGTTGGGTATCTTGGCTCCTCAAAACCGTTGGCTGCGTTACATCAGACGAGTGGTGGAGAAACTGCAGTACCGTGCATGCACCGCATCTCCTTGGTGCAGATATGATGGCTCTCAGTCTTTGGTTTCAGGATGTCTGTGGGTGCCCTTCTAATCCCCCTGTCCTGTGTTGGGTTGGGCAAGCAAAGTCATGACTCATGACAAGGTTCCAGCTGCAGTGGTTGCAATTAGCCTCGGCCGGATTGGATCAGTGTTTCAGCTTTTGACGCCCGCCCTGTGCCGTGCTTTGGAGCTGCTCCGGCCACGCAAGACACAAGACTGCAGGTCCGAATGTCCAGACCCATGGTCCCAAAAAAGCGGGTGGCTGAAGAGGGTGCAATAAGAAAGCTACAGCGGAACAGCGAGCATAGCGATAGTGAACAGTGTGCAAAATCCACAAAGTTGGGGCAAAGTTCACATGACATGACTTCGGATTCCGAGCCCGAGCCTCGGAGCCTCCGGAGTTTCCGGAGCCGCAGAGGCAGAGAACTCGCGCTGAGGCCATGGCCGCCAAAGGCCGACCTCGAGAGATGGATGATGAACACGGTGAAGGCCCGGGCCCTGAAGGGCCTGATGTACCTTCGAAGCGCGGGACGTCCCAGGATCCCGACCCCGGAGCAGTCTTTCTCCGGCAAGTTCTTCAGCGCCTCAGCACAAAGCGCTTGGGGCATGCTTTTTTTGCAGTTGCAAAGACTGGTAATATCTGGCAATCTCCAGGATGAACCCGGCCTATGGCTCCTACATGCAGACTGACAAGGAGAGTATGCGGCCAGAACTTAGGGCGCAGCCAGGCCGAAATCTGAGGTGTCTGCACCTTTCTCATTTAGTTTGTGAGTTTCGCGCAATGCTGCAGTGCTGGCTCTGCATGTGGGAAGGAACCGACATGGCACACTGTGGAAGCAATCTCAAGCATAGCAGCTCTACCACTTACCAGCTCGAGCGAGCCAGAGAAGTGGCAGAACCGTGCCCTGACAAACTTTCGAAATCTTCATATATCTTTAGCTTTGCGAGTGGAACGATGTTGAACGGCTCCAAGGTGTGGGCATGCTGAGCAGATGATCTCTGGTTATCGCACTACTGTTGCATTGCTAGGATCCGGAACGACCGAAGCAAGCTGTGATCTTGGCGGCCGGCCGCGGCTCACGCCTCGTGCCCTACACCGATGCACTCCCGACGGTGGGATCTGCAATTTGCTGGACGTTCTTGTTCTCTGTTCGAACTGATGTGGTGAGGCGTTGATTTCCATCGGTGGCAAGTCTATGGTGGCTCACACGATCTCGACTCTGCGTCGCCAAGGGGTCCAAAGCTTCTACCTGTGCCGGGGCTGGAAAGGCTGGTGCGGTCTGCGGGTAACTTCCGGGAACCTCTCCCGGTCCCTCTCAGCATGGCAGGAGATGTTTTCGATGAGCACCTGAGCTCGCTGGGCGACGGAGTCCAGTTGACCCTTGGATCGAAAGCAATGCGAGCAATTGTTCGTGCAGCCACTCTTGGTGATATCCAGGATCGACTGCCCCGATTTTGCAACGACTGGGATGCTGGAGAGCTTGCGCGTTGCACTGCCACATGTCCGACCTGGGCCCTTACTGGTTTGCCACTTGGAGGCAGTAAAACGGCTCTTCAGTCCCTCCAAAGACGAGAAGACTACCGCGAGATTTGGACGATGCGTGCCCTCAGCGAGGTTATGGGGACATCATCTTCCGCCACAGCGTCACATTCTCAGCTGCTGCTGTGTCTTGTGCTCGAAGTGTGGGCCTTTCCGTCGTAGGTGGCACGGCAGCTGCTGGAAACCACAGGAGGCATCGCCGCAGTGGTCAACGCGGCGGCTCCTGGTAAGGAAAGCAAGGGCTTCAACGAGGCGAGGCAAGGAGATCCGGCACACGTGCTTGTGGGTGGGGGAATCTGAGCGGAATTTGGGCGGTCCAGGTTGAAGTGGTCGCGGCCACTGGCACTGGGCCCGACCGCACCATACGTCGAATCGGCAAGGGTCGGCGTGTGAGCGAGTGTGACTGCGCCGGGGAGTTTGCTGGGCGCACTGTCTGCAGGCAGCTCATGTCTTTGCCTTCCCAGCTCACGTCCTTGCCTTCCGACTGGCAGCTCGAATGACTGAGGTTGGTGAAGTTCTCTACATCTGGGAGAGCTATCATGGAGGAAGTCGTTCGCCGGCTCTTCCAGGAGATCTCCGGCATACCTGGGGATTGGAGATGGCATTCGAATCGCTGTCGGTCGGGCTCCCTCGCTTTGCTTTGCGTCGTCTTGGCTTGTATGGGCTTGCGCGCACGAAGAGTTTTGACGTCCTGCTTCCACATCCAGTCGCTAGTGTCTCAAGATGGCATGACATGCAGCAGGAGGACAAGTCCTGCACCGGCCAAGCATGGAGCTTGCCTTGGTGGCTTGAGCCTGTCGGCAGGCACGGAAAGAGCCTGAGAGATCCCTGTGGCACATCCAAGCCAATCGCCGACAGGGCCAGCCTGTGCGACCTGCTTCAACTCATGGCCGACGAGGCCGCCTGAAATTCGCCACTCAAGGTAAGGCAACAACTCACATACCACATTCTGTGTTCCAAGGGCATCTGCATCTCCCTGGCCATGGTTTTTGGTGGATGGCATGAGGTTAACACACCGCCGGACTTGACGAGGCTTGCGAGAGAAATCACGGCTCTCATGATGTCAAGAAGATTCAAAAGCTCACAAGTCTTGGGCATTTCATATCGTGCGCAGGGCGTGGAATGACACTGCGCTGTTCCTGTCGGAAGAGGACACCGTCACCCAAGTGAAGGTGCCTGTTGCCGCCACTTTATGCGTCTTGGAGCGGGCCGTGAGGGAGTCGAGTCTTGTTCTTTTCCATTGTCAGGCCATGGGCGCTTGCCTCCTGAGTGAGGCCAATGACCTGAAGCGGCCGCTGCCAATTGTCGCCAAGGCCTAGCATTGGGCACAGCCGCCACGAGCATAGTGCAGAGACGAGACAACCCGTTGTTTGACGAGGAGCTCAATGTCAACTTGGAAAGGCTTGAGTGTAGCTCATCAGAAAAGGTGCATGCACTGTAGTGAGGCGACAGGCGGGATGGGAACTTCAAGCAATATTTTCCGAGCCGAGGCTTGCTGAAAGGCAATCTAGAAGTGAGTGACGCACTGGATATCATGCGCAAGATGAGTGAGGTGGGATGCCACCAGTGTTTCCGCAATCCTGTGCTTTTCCATGAATTTCAGCAGCGCAGTGGAGCAGGTTTATGCCGTGCCGCTGAATGACTTGTGGTTGGATGCAGATGACACTTCGCTTTGGCTTGCTTGAGACATGGTGTCTAGGCATGTAGTCGATGCTGTGGGCCCAGGACACCGATGCTGGAGTTCGAGTCTTCACCATGGAAGCTTCGGAGTCGTCTGCTCGCATACTTGACAGAAAGGAGCCTGCTCGACACCGGCACGTTGAAATACGCGAGATCCATAGAGTGCTCTAGGACAGGACAGGCAGCAGAACGCCCTACTATGAGGTGGCCTGCAACTGCTGAGCGCGGCATTTCTTGAGCTGCCGGAAGTCTTGTTCATGTGCTCCTGCTCAGTATCGCGACGCTGCCATGAGCCGCTGCAGCCAGTTTCGGCCAGAGTGGATCAAGGCTGTGACATGCCCTGGCTGTCGCAGCGCATCAAGCAATCGCCCTGTGCTAGGTGCTTCGTGTGGTGCCTCGAAAGCATCGAGACAGAGTGTTAGACAGAGTGTTTATCCCATCACTGTTGAGCAATGACAGCCGAAGACGAGTATGCTCGGCACACATGAGGTTGCCTCTGGAGATCCGCTTGACCCGGATGTTCAAATGAACAATGGGCGGGCTGCCCTGTGCTGCAAGAGCTGAGATTTGGTACAAGACCTCACCGCAACAGTGTTCTCTGCTTCGAAGTCGAAGGCATTTGATGATGCAGACCACTCTCTTTATTGGCCCTGTGGACTTCTACTACACCGACAGTGCCCCGCCACGTCCGGTATCTGCGTGACAGGTGTGAGATCAAACCACCCTAGGTCCTTCGGTTTGAACACTTTCGAGACAGTGCGTGTGATGCAAGTGATTATCTTTTGAAGCTGATGTAAAGAAGTGCAGGGGCAATGCAGGCTTGGCAGACGAGAGTGCAGTGAGTGCAAGACGTGGTCACTCCGGACCGAACCTACTTCTGTGTACAAACCGGCCTAAGGGCATGGAAGGGTTCACCGCAAGGAGATGAACACTGGAGACAGAGTCTCGCCGGCACGCAGGGGTGAACTACGGAAGCCCCAGAGGATCGCAAGTTTTCAAGACCTGCGTGGGTGCAACGCTCAATCGAAGGCAATTATATTTCGCCGTTTGTGCCACACTCATTCACTGCCCGTGCGGGAAGTCCGGAAGCCATCATCATAGCAGCTTCTTGGCACAGAACGGTGACGGGTCCTTTGCTTGTGTCCCCGAAGTTCTTGCTTTAGAGTCTCGTCGACAGCTTGCGTCGCTGCCGCTGCCAGTTTTGCTCAAACGTCCTCCCTGGTGCCTTGTTGAAGCCCCCTCCCAGTGCCATGTCACGTCGGCCAGGCCGCAAGGGAGCACTGGGGCGCGGTGCACACCTGTGCAAGACTGTCCGTTTCCATCGCAGGTGCAGCCCTGTTCGTGCTCACATTGGCAGCCTGCGGGCTTTGGAGTGCCTTCGTCGGCCCAACGAAGCGCGCAGCGAGGGTGGACCGAGTGGCGTTGGAGGCAAGCCGAAAGTTCATCGTTGGTGGCTGCCTCAGAGGCAAAAGGCTGGCATTCTAGCATGGGCTGACCCAAGCTGCAGAGTGGGCCCTGGCTGCTAAGGTGGAAACTGGAAGGCCAACGGAAGTCCAGACAGTGTCAAGAAGCTTGTCAAAGATCTGAACGACGGAGACATCACGTCCAAGGACCAACGAAACTGAGCAAGTCCGAAGCCGCAAAGCGTTGCGGCACGGCACTGTGAGCAGCTGCGCAGGATGTGGAAGTCGTGTGTGCTCCGCCGTTTGTCTTCCTCTCGGAGGCTCAACACAAACCTTTGCAGCTGGAATACGCCCCACAACAAACAGAACGAATCCTGGAGATGAAGATCCTTGAAGCCACGACAGACCAACAGACTGGAATTGTCAGGTGCAGGGCAGCCTGCGCAAGGACTTTGCTGTGGCCGCACAGAACCTTTGGGACAAAGATCCAGGTGCATGGACAGGTGGGCAAATGATCTGCCCTTGCAGCTCCGTCTGAAGTGTTTCTCATGCACTGCATTGTGCTCGCCAGGAGAGATTCCGGCACAGATGCTCGCTGACATGGGCATCAAGTGGGTGGTTCTCGGCCACAGCGAGCGCAGGGAGAACTGCGGTGAAACAAGCCAGATCGCCTGCCACCCAGTCAACTCTCTGCAACAGCATTGCGCGGTTCACCTAGCAAGATCAGATCCAGGTAGCCGAGAAGACCAAGTTCGCAGTGGACAACGGCTTCAGCACTCTTACATGCATTGGCTCCTCAGCTTTTACATGAGGACTCACTGATAGCGGATGGCATGCGGATAGCATGCGGATAGCCTTGCATAGAGAACTGGGAGGGCCAAGTTCTCAGGTGAGAAGCTTGATGCCCGCGAGGCGATCCGCCCCCAACAGTTCGTTGTCTGGTAAATTACAGCCTTGTGGCACCGAGCGAAATTCAGTGCAGCATTCAGGGTGGAAAGACTTTCGAAGTGCTGGACGAGCAGCTGAAGCCTTTGGCAGATGTGCTCTCTGAGGAGAGTCTGCAACAACCCAAGTGATAAGTGTCGTCTGCAACGGCCATGCCTTTCCAGGAGGACTGGGAGAAGGTGGTGCTGGCATACGAGCCGGTCTGGGCAATTGGCACCGGAAAGGTGGCCACTCCCGAGCAGGCAGGGAGGGCTGCAACTCCCGGCCATCGCAACTGGAAGCATCCCTTACCTGCCAGGCCGAAGAGACCCATGCCTACATCCGAAAATGGCTGACGGACAACGTGTCCGAGAAGGCCTGCGCCGCAGATCAACGAGCCATGTTGCGGGTCCCAGTTTTCCTTGGAGGTCAGCGATTCGGTCCGCATTCAATATGGAGGCTCAGTGAACGACAAGAATGCCGCTGAGCTCGGAAGCTTGGCTGAAGGATGTGCCATGCTACGTGGTAACAGTAACATCGGCAAGCTTCCGCCATGTTCCGAGGAGAGCAGCCCAATATCGATGGCTTCCTTGTTGGTGGTGCTTCACTCAAGGGTGATTCTTTCACCACCATCATCAACTCTGTGTGAACCTGACGCTTGCGATGTAGAGTCCTGTGCATCAGACACGCATCGAATTCCTTGAGTGTTGGAGTGGTGCCTATACCCATGATGCGTGGTTTGGCCAGTTTGAAGGCCTCTTGCCACAAGGAATTCTGTCTCATGCACGATCGGACCTCCCTATGATTAGTTTTCATAGCTGTGGAGCTGTCACTGCTCAATTCTTCATTGCTGTTGAAAAACTGGAATGCGGTGGCAGTCTCTGCTGTAGCCAGCTCTCTGCCTGGATGGAAGTCTCATTACGTATCGTTGAGGCACTGCCAATGTTCGTCTCGCACCTTAGGTTACATACGGCGGCGCTGTGCGTCGGGCCTTCACCGAGCTTTCACGTGTGGGTGCAAAGCAGGTTGCCGCGCTGGCTGGTGACTCTCGCAGCTTGCAAGAAGACCGCGTAGTCTCGGAAGCCTTCTTCTCAACCGTATAGATGCTATAACGAACGCATGCTGCGACATGGCAGGACTGAACTTCAGCTTATGACGATTGTTGTTGCTGCTACTCGTAGTAGGAACGCATGTCCTTCACGTGACTTCACTATACGCAACTGCGTGTCCAAAGCCTACGGCCCTTGGGGACCCGAGCAATAGCAGAAGAAGTGTGACCAGCTTCTGCGATGTCATCTGAGGCAACCCAGAAGAAGCCCGCGAATGTGTCCTGAAGTTCCCCGGCATCAGAAGGGTTGAGGGAAGCAGGAAGTTGTTTGTGGTTCCACAAAGTTATCGAGGCTGACGAGGTGATCCGATGAATTGTGATGGTTCTGTGTCGATCTGATTTTGTATATGCTTTGTTCGTAGTGACTCGCTCACTGGAGGCGTTGCCTGGCCGCAGAATGCTTGAGCCCAGCTGAATTGGTCTCTGCATTGGCACCGGGCGTGGCCGAAGGCCCGTGATGCCCGTGCAGTCCGCAAACCGCCAAGCCGCTAACTGCCCTGTCGTTTTGCGTCTCACCGCGAGGCCGTGCTTGGGAGCTTCTCCGAGGAGCGGAGGCCGGGGTGGCTGAAATTGCACCTTGCAGAAGCCTTGTTCTGAATGGGTCAGGCCAGCAGCAACGAGATTCAGAGTCTCGCAGATGTTCTGAACGTGCGCGTGTCTGATTTGCTGGTCAGCCCTCTTGAAGACGAGGAGGAGGTGGGCGGCTCAACTGTCGCTTTGTGCCTTGTCTGATGGTTGTGGGCAGGTTGTTGTGACGTATGCAGAGAAGAGCCAGCAACATGCTCGTCGGATGAACGGCTATGTGCTCTTGCCTGGTGCCCGGACGAGGCCGGCATAGGCGAAGGCAGCCAAACAGCTAAGTCACGCTAAGCGTGACTTTGTTAGCGTGACTTCGTCTGGTTTGGGCGAAGGCACCAGCCGGACTTGAAGACCTTCGACCTGGAGGTGCTCGAGTCTGCAACCCCCGGCGAGAGTAGCTGAGATGCATGTTTAAGTTAAGGGCATTCGAAGCGGTTCGGTTCTGCCTCTTCGTGGCCCGAGGTCTCAGCTGTGGGCTGCACACTTTCGTCTACCACTTCGGCTCCGAAGCTGTCGAGCTGAGGCGATGTGAGCCGATCTTTCATACGAACTTTCAATAAGTTTGCTTTTCTTTGTGCTGCCATGCCGAGGTGGTCCACGAGACTGGGGGCTTCACGTGCTACAATCCTACGACCAGGAGATTCCTCCTACATTGCGCCCTTAGTGGAGCCGCCTGGCTTTGTTTCAGATATCCCGCCTTTTCGACGGAAAAGATGAGTTGGTCGACAGTGACGCTAAATCAACATGTTTTCCGAAGCCTCAGGCACAGCTTCTCTGTTCTTCCTGGGGCTGCGCAGGCCAGGAAATGGCTGTAAGTGTACGGGATGTTGTAGTGTCCAGTTTCCATGGTTCGAGGCAGGGGGAAGTAGGGCTTTTGTACAGGTGCGACCCACTCTTGCTTCTTGAGGGCCTTAAGTGCCGGCCCTACCCCACTGAAACCATGTAACGAGCATCGTGATGAACATAGCTAAGCCTGCCTTCATCATGAGCATCATCCGCCAAGCACGTGTGCCGTGTACACTTCCTGAGACCGGCCAAGATGTTCCAAATCGCCCCAAATGATGCCCGGACCCCCTGCCTTGGATTGGGAAGCTTGACGGGATGTTGAAAACCTGTCGGTGTAGCTTGTAACGCTTGGGGGCGAATTTCCAGGCCAGTGTTTTGCTAGAGACAGTCGGTGGCCCGAGCCTGCCTGAAGGGAGAACCAAAAACTACGGAGCCGAGCAAAGACTCTGGGCGTGAGATGGCGACAATAGAGAAGGCTTTTTTGAACCCACGTTAGGGAAGGAACTTTGGGACGGGAGGCAGCGCAGCCGCTGGGGAGAGGTTCAGGGGAGGTTCACGAGAAGGTGAGAGAAGCAAATAGAGCACGCACGCCCTCTTAGGTACAGCGCGTCTGCTTGCAAGAGCTTGGCTTTTGCTAAACAGTCTTTGTCAAAATGCTTTTCACTTGTTTCCCTGGCTGCTCGCTGCAAGCCCATGCACAGCACCAGACTTCCCAGGAGCGATTCCGAGTTCACGATATCCCCGGCTTGAACGAACCGAACTAACTTATTTGCAAAAGCATGCAGCCCGGCTGCTGAGCCACAGTCGATGAATGCTCTAGCCTGTCTTCCTCGATGCAGCTGACCCTTTCCTTCTTTCCAAGTTGCTTGCTTGTTCAACATGTGCGTATCCAGCCATCACTCAGAGCAAAGTTGTGCACATCCACAGCCAACAGCACCGTGGAAAGCGACGATCAGGAGCCGGGGATGAACGGTGCAGCCTGCGGAAAGGGGCGGCACCTCTTCCTTGTGCGCATCCCCGGGCAGCTGCTAAGAACCCAGACGTCTAAACAGTTGGTGTTGACAGATTCGGTCCCCAATTTGTCTTGTAGAGTCAGGTCAGGTGAGACGCTCGCCGAGTTTGCCACATTTTCCACCCATGGCCGTGAGCGTGTCGGAGCAGAAACGGCAGGGGCCCCTTTATGGCAGCGGCTGAGAAGGATCGAGCCCACACAAGCGGTTTTGCCGAGGTGCAGTGGTACAATTGACCATCCCAGCAGCCAGCTCAGCTCTCGCGGATCTCTGTCTCTTCGGGAGAGACTGCTCTGACAGGTTTGTTCTTTTCCTCTCTCAGACCAGCCAGGCAAAGCTCGGGGATTGGGAAGTTAGCCGAGGGATGCAGACGGTGCCGCACCGTTTGGCACCGCCGAGCTCCTACAGCACTTCCTCACGTAACATCGATGCTGCGGAAGGTGGCGTTACGCACGGCGAGATACCGTTTCTGTGTGCTTTTGTCCAGACCATTTTACTCCGCCATTCCAGGGCTGCATGTGGCGCAATGAGGGCCTCTGCCCGGCCGTCGCATTGCCACCAGTTGATGTTCGAGCCTTTGACAGCATCACGATGACGGCCCTGATCTTGCAAACGACTGTGGGCGAGGGCTCCCAAACCCAGCACATGATGTGCTGTCTGAGCTGTGATCTCGGATGTTTGGCCGCTGCCTCCTGAGAGTCAAAGAATGATGCCGCTGACGGCGGCAGCAGCAGCAGCAGCAGGAGGAGGAGGAGGCGGAGGAGGAGGGGGAGGAGGAGGAGGAGTAGGAGTAGGAGTAGGAGGAGTAGTAGTAGTGGTAGTAGTAGTAGTAGTAGTAGTAGTAGTAGTAGTAGATGTAGTAGTAGTAGGAGCAGCAGCAGCAGTAGGAGCAGCAGCAGCAGTAGCAGCAGCAGCAGCAGCAGCAGCAGCAGTAGCAGGAGTAGTAGTAGTCGTCGTCGTAGTCGTCGTCGTCGTCGTAGGAGTAGGAGTAGGAGTAGGAGTAGGAGCTGGAGC